AGTGACATAGAATTCAATGATTTGAGTTACTTAATTTCTCCAGTAAGGCTAGGAAAAATAGATGAACTAAGCAAATTGAATACTGCGGATTCAAATAACGTCTATAGCCACCAAAAAAAGGTGGATCTTCGGGGGGGGGGAAGCATATGTATACGCTGTCTGTCTTGTTGGAATTTAGTAGGCCCCTGCACTATATTATGCGGAAGGCGGCTCCATCTCGAGCAACGCTCCCCGTGTTTCACGGGTTCCTGCCTTTCTGAGCGCTGGTGGCCTTCTGGCCAAGGCGGAGGACGTAAAGTTCGATCAGCCTGCCGACCACGAAGTTTCCCGGCAGAACTACTGGGATGTTTTTCGGGGTGAGAAATCAACTGGGTAGTATTTGGGGGGGATATTCGAGACTCCAATAGAGAGTAACACTATATCCTCTTCTTGGTATACTATTTTGAAAGAGAAAATAATCTTACGTAGGTCACCCAAATTACGCTACCGAACGGCCAAAGAATTATTTTTCAAGACGAGCGGAGGTGACTCTGGATATACCGCCCGTGTTCAAGTGCAACCCCTTTGACCACGTGCACCCTTGCAGCAGAGAACACGTTTGGGAGTACTCACTAGGCACTGGGCTTCTTTCTTTCGCGTGGTCCTGGCACAGTATTCTTTCGTTTCTAGAGAATCCCATTGAAACTGAACACTCGAGAAGTAGGCGAGAAGCAAGCCTCCCAAGATTCTGACAGCCTTGGCAATCACCACTCTGCCAAACCCTTCTGTAAGCCCTAGTATAGGCATTGCGACTTTGCCATTTTCCAGGCTGGTTGTCAACCTTGAGGGTCCTGGCGGAGAAGCACGGCGCAATCACATTCTTCGTGAATTTGGGAAGAAGGGTTTGCGAAATAGATTCAAGTTCTGGCCGGCCGTCAATTTCGGCACGGATGAAGGGCTGGCCCAGGAGACTGGGCAAAAGAAGTGCCCTTGTGATGCAAAAAGAGGCTGCGCGCTCAGCCACAGGCGCATCTACGAGACCATGCTTGCTGAACAGTGGGCATGCGCTACCATCTTTGAAGATGATGTGACACTTGCAGAAAACTTCACTACGAGGATAGAGGCTGCCATGGACAGCATCCCGCCCTTCGATGTCATCCTCTGGGGCTTTTGCCCTGGTGGTTCCAAGCCTAGGCACGGGCCCAAAGATCAAAAGTCGGTACCCACACTTAGGTACGGCTGGCCCGGCTCCTGTGTGCATGCATACACAGTCAGTTTATCAGGTGCTTTAGTGCTGACTCAAGCGAACACACCTGTGCAAACACCGCCTGATGGTGCCATGGATGGCATGCACTGGTTTAAAGACAGAACGAGGTTGCACATTGACCGTTCGGGTGGTATCATCACGGGCTCCTACTGGTTCGCCACTCCCCAGCTGTCATGGCAAGGGGTGGAGGCAGACAACTTGGATGGTGGTGTTTGAGATAGTCACACCCCTGGGACGGCCGTCTCACCTTATCCTTGAAAGACATCCAGGAGCACGCAAAAGAGCTGACGCCGGTGTGCAGCGTGAGAGGTGCGCTGGCTTTCTTCCTTCAATTCATGCAATGCCGGGTTGGTTTAGGGTATCCTGTTCCTAAGGCAGTACAGATCCGCCTGCATCAGGGATGTGTCCCAATGTGCTTGGGTTATGAATCTAAAGCAATGACAGCAGATGCATTGTCACTGTAGAGTGGACCGAGCCCATGCTAAGGGAGTTTTCTACAGACCGTGTCGTCCCTAATCTGTTTCTTCATACAGCGGGGTGGGGAAAATGGGAATGTAATCCCCATATCACCCCTGAATAGCAAGTCCCTTATACCCTGCTAAACCCCTGTAAGGCTAGGACTAGGAACTGGGACAAGGAGTACCCTAAACCCTAAACCCTTGGTGCTGTGATAGCCTGCAAGAATCAACCTGGCCGCCTGGCTGCGGC